TTGCATGATTCGTGTATTAATAAATCATGCAACAAATATCTCTAATCCGAAGGAGGCTGATTTTCACATCCTATTATGCACTATAAAAGGCATTGCTAAATGGCAAAGGTGGTAATGAAGGGCTTAGGGAAAGTACTGCACAATTTGTCTACATCCTAACTTGAATGGATGATATTACTACAATTCCAAAGAAGAAGCAATTGTTTTAGGGTTTGCTTTCAGAGTAGGAAATCTTACTATGTAGAAATCCTGTTTAAAGACCATAAAAACTAAAAGCTGTCAAGTTCTGGAAACATTTCTAATTCTGACAATCTCTGGACGGAGTTCATTGAATTGGGTTGTTGCTAGACAGAATAACAGAGTTGGAAAGGCCCTTGGAGATCTTTTAGTCCAAGCCAAGGAAACCCTATACCATTTCAGACAGATGGTTGTCTAATCTTTTCTTTAAAAACTTCCAGTGTTTGAGCATTCACAACTTCTGGAGGCAAGTCGTTCCACCGATTAACTGTTCTCACTGTCAGGAAATTTCTCCTTAATTCTAGGTTGGTTCTCTCTCCTTAGCTAAGACATTTCCCTGTCTTAATGCATACTGGTACATGACGTCATCTAATGCATATTGACAACACTGCCACAGTGAAGGAATTCCAAAGCCTTTCTGAAAGAAAGCGCCTTTTCTCCACTGCTGCATGTCATTTGACTCAAAGGCACAAATTTTTATCATGTTAAAATGATTTGAGGTTAGAAGAGATCAGTTCCCAAAGACTGTACAAGAATCAAAGGTTACTGAAATATTTATGGATGACATCGTTGTAATTGCTTTCAGGAAATACCCTGAAATGCTGTCCTAACTAGACCATTTTATTATCTTGACTCAGGATAATTTATCTAATTCATGCACATCCTTTGTCTCAGACATTAAAAAACTGTCTCATGTGATCTGTGTCTCTAAGGGAAAACAGAGCTCTAATAAGGCAGCAGGATTTGGGAGAAAAGGAAAAGTACATTAATGAGGGGAAAAAACCGTGCAATGAGTCCCTGAGGAAATATAGCTAGACTTCCTTGGCTCTTCCTTCCATAAAACACTTTTAATTTAAACATGTATTTGCTTTCTTTCAGATGTCCCCTGCAACTAGGGCCAAGTCAAAACAAATGAAGCAGAGTTCCCTTTGGAGATCAGTTTCTTCAGTCAAGGCACTGAGATTTATTGAGTGGTGGGATTATGTTCCAAGCAAGGCATTTTCAACTTTGCTTATATGCACATACTAGAGGGGACAATCCAGCTCGGAGAAGGCCAGAATGTACATCATTAGACGGATCTTCTTTTTTCTTCTTCTTTTTTTCATCTCTGACTCCCAAATTGGGATTACACTAATATGATTTGTCTTGACTTAGTTTAATGTATCTGAACAATGCAAAGAGAATGTCAGAGCATGCATAGTCTTATTGCGCTGAGATAATCCAGGAGTAAATACAGTAAACAGTGGTCTATATTAAATGGTGGTTTATCTTACACTATCTACAATATACACTAGGAACAAGATACATATACATGGTAATACAGCAAACTCCAACACACAGCAGTTATAGCAGGAAATAAACAAGAGAGAGACCCTCCAACAAAAGCCTTCCCTTTTATACTCAGGCTCTTAAAGAGACACAGACCCTGCTGAGTCATTCCTATCATTGCATCATCCAACTTATATTCCATTACATCATTACATAAGCTGTTTAGCTATTAAATTATTATCCTGAAAGAGAATGTTTAAAAAAGAAGAAGAGACAGAGCCTCAACTCTTAAGCCTCATTCAAAATTATAATGCAAATAGTCCTTGACTTATGAGCACAATTGGAACCAGAATTTCCATTTCTACCTATGGTGGTTTGTTAATTGAACCACACCTGATGTTACGATGTTTTTCTTCTATGGTTAGATGCCCCAAACTGTTAGGCACATCACTGCAGTTCTTAAGGAACTATGCAGCTATTAAAGTGAGTCCAGATTCCCCCACTGACTTACCTGTCAGTGTGACTTTCCTGTCAGTCTGCCAGGAAAGTCACTAATGGCAACCACATGACCTGGGACGCTACAACCATTGCAAATACATGCCAGTTGCCATCACCTGAAATTTAATCACATGATTGTGGGGATGCTGCAAAGTTTATAAGCGTGAGAACCAGTTGTAAGTCAATTTTTTTCCAGTGGCATTGCAACTTCAAATGGATGCTAAATGAATGATTGTAATTTGAGGACTATTTTAGTAGTGGGCGTAGTAGTAGCAGTACACCACATGGTGTTCCTTTTGATTTATAAGGTCACAAACAATTTATAGATCTCAATCTAATCCTCAGATACCTTGCTGTCAGTTCTTTTGCCGGTATTTATTTAGCTATGGTTCAGGGACTGGAGAATATTTGAAGTATCTTCTTTTCTAGATGCCCACTTTTATTCTAAAGATCTTCCTGAGCACCCATGAAATATCTGAATGGAAAGCTTTTTTCACTTGCCCAGCCTATCCATGGTTTTCTCTCTCTGCCACTGTGCCACCCTGCCTTAGTTATGGTGTTTGTGTTTATAAATTGGTTTTATCATTTTCTCTGTATTGTATTATTATTATTATTTATTATATTTCTGTTAATGAAAGGGAGAATAGAGAGGATAGAGAGAGAGGATTACTAAATCCTTGAGATACTAAAACCTATTGCATGGTGTGGATGTTAAATTCTTAGCAGCAAAGCCTGAAAGTGCGGATAGTATAGCAGCATCAGATTGTCTAGCAAACTGAAATCACTGCACATCCTTAAGATATTTTGAATCCTAAGCACAGACTGTTGAATAATTCAAAACCACAAGGTTCCTACCACAAGCAATGAGTCTTTTAATTCAATCTAGAGCAGTCCCAACTTTTCATTGGTCTTATAATAATCAATAATACAAAATAGAAGCTTTTACATTTAAATTCCTTGTGGCTCCTGAGGAGTCCAAAGAGAGCAGGTCATAGAGATGTTCAAGTACAAAATGAATCAATGTCACAATTTGAAAATGCAAATTCTCTTTGTCCTTTGAGGTCTAAAGATACTTATTGCTTGTCATTCTGAAAATCAACACCTGTTCAAAAATATTTGTTAAACACATTTGAAATACAAATTTCAAATATACATTAAATTTCAAAATAAATCTTAAGATAAATCTTTAAATCTCAAAAGTAAGGCTCATAAAAGTGACAGGTTGCAAAATCAATTAATCGCAGTCAAATTTGCCGTAAACAAGAAGGCAAACAAGTGATCATGTTTCTATGTTTCTTAGGCCAACTGTAATATCCTATAAGTATTCACGTGGAGAAATTAGCAGAGGTTATTGGAAAATGTCATGCACTACATGCAAAAATAAACCATCCTAGTTTATTTAGAAACTTTAGATTGGGTTTAAATTATCTCTGTAGGGAACTTTGGACAAAGACAAAATTTAGTATTTATAAAGATCCTTTCCACCATTCACCTTTCTCTCATCTTTGACCTGTGGGCTAATGGGAAACACTGTAGAAATAAATATAAGATGTATCTGATTTCATGGACAGAGTAAGCAGGCAGACAAACAAACACAAAGGAAGGAAAGTCCACCCGCACTAAAATCTGCCACCCATGACTTCAGAGATAAAGTAGGCAGTGTGCATGCTCAGCCTTAAATATAAATCACAAAAGCAATCAAGGCCTACTCAGACTCAGATATATACTGAACTCCAAAAATAGTTAAAGACTATAACATAAGCATCTAACTAGTACATTATAATCAATGGGGTTATCAGACAGCAATGCTTCAAAATCTTCCATGCATATAATAAAATAAGCCATATCCTTATTCCACAAATTCGTTAGCCTTTTAAACAAGCATAGAAAGTCAACTTGGAATAGCATTTGCAACTATCATTTCTCTATCTTTTTCAGCTCTTATTTTGTAAGATTGGAGATCACATTTAGGGCTCAGTGGGAGAATAGCAAGGACTATTTGGGGAAATAGTCAGGAGTTTTTATTATTATTATTATATCAAGACAAAATCCAGAAATGGAGCAGGAATCAAATGAACAGACTAGGGGAAGACTCTATAAAAATGTCAAAGAAGCCAGAGAGATTGTCTGGAAGTCAGCTTGCAATCAGGAAGAATGCACTGGTGAGAGTTAAGAGCTTACTCTTGCCAGTGCCTTCTAAACTTTTTTTTTATTTTTTTACTATGTGAGATAGTTCCATTTCACTGAGGAGTACTATGGCTCAATCATATTTAGAAATCTTAGTCACAGATTCTCCTTTAATGAAATGACCTCATTTAAGAGAACATATCCATGTTTCCTAATTATTTCCAACATTCCAAAATCCCATGGAAAAAAACATTACATTTCTGTCTATTTAATTGAAGGAGGGTCTTGAATATATTCAGAAAAGCAGTCTGGGTATAAATTACACATGCATTGCAAGATAGGACAGAGAGGCAATATTTGATTCTCTCACATTCAGAATGGGAGGAATTTAGCTCCAGGTCAATCTTCCACAATAGCATAAATCCAACATATCTGCTAAAGCAGTGGTTCTCAACCTTTTTAATGCCGCGACCCCCAACCGGTCGTAAGTCGAGGACTAAACCGGTCGTAAGTCGAGGACTAAACCAGTCGTAAGTCGAGGACTAAACCGGTCGTAAGTCAAGGACTACCCAACCGGTCGTAAGTCGAGGACTTTCCCTGCCCGGGAGCGCTGTGCATGCATGGTTCTGCCCCCTGCGCCGGCCGAGGCGTAGCTGGCAAGTGGCAGAGACGGAGCAGGCCGACCACCAGCTGGCCCAGCTCAAGGGAGGTAAGGCACCTGCCGGAAAAGGGGGAAAAATGGCGGACAGCCTTGCTTGGCAACCCCCGTGAAATGGTCGATCGACTCCAAATGGGGTCGTGACCCATAGGTTGAGAACCGCTGTGCTAAAGTATAATACATTTAATTAAAAAAATGGCTCATTGCTTACTTCCTCCACTTGAGGTTCTTGAGCTTGGGAAGCGTTAGGCACAGGAGAATCACAGTCTGGGCTGTAGTGCTCACAGTAATCATACGCTGCTCTGGGATCATCAACAATCAGCATCTGCTGGATATCACCCTGCCAGGGAAACACAAGATTATAAATTAGCAACCATCACAGGCCATTGGGGGGATGAGGGGTAATGAAAAGGAATCCTTCTTCTCTACAAAGCAAGCTTGGTTAAGTGAGATACATCTAATACAGGTTTAATTATTCTGCAGCACCTGCTAATTTATTTGAGTAATTTATATTTTGCCTGTTGTGGCTCCAGCACAGCTTGTTAATAGCTTTGTTACCAACAAATAGGAGATTTATAGCGAGATGAAGTCATTTTGGGCCAAGAGCCAAATGTTTTTAAACCCTTATGTGCCAAGTGATTGCACGAATCATAAACCGAGGCTGAAACTACCTTGTTGTGAGGTAATAGATGGGAACAATACTATTCATATATTATCAGCTTTAATATGTATAACTAGATAGGTACTTCTGATGGCTCCTTCCATAAAGAAAAAGAGTTCAGAGTTTAAATAGTAATGACATACAGTATATGTATTATGGCTAGTGAAGAGTAGTAGCACATTTAATAACTGACTGAATGGACTCAATATAGTTAGTAATCTGTATCTGGGATTTGGAGAGTTGTAGTTTGATCCATCTGGAAACTACCAAGTTGAGAAACGCTGATTTAAACCCATGACTATAACATTGAAATAAATGAGGTTTTAGATATGTATTATTATTGGTTAATTCACACAACTTAAAAGGAGGGAGGGGGTTTATAACCAAATCAAAATGAAGAAAACTTTAGCTCACCCAGTATATTTTGAAAAATACTTTCCATTAAATCCCATAGTATTAAAATGATTTGATTTTGTGCGATCGTGGCCTTTTCTCCCAGATATAAAATAATAGCGCATTTCACAAGGCATTGAAGACCTGGCTATTTCCCCAGGCAGTTGGATCAAGTAGGTAGATGAATTCTGTAATTGATGTGTTTTTCTGTGAGTGGGGCTATTGTATATCCTTGGGCTAAACTGGGAATTATTTGTTGTGTGTTTTAATCTTGTAAGCCATCCACAGTCATTTATGTGAGATGGGCAGTGATATAAATCATATAAACCAGGGGTCCTCAACCTTGGCAACTTTAAGACTTGTGGACTTCAACTCCCAGAATTCCTCAGCCAGCAAAGCTGGCTGAGAAATTCTGGGAGTTGAAGTCCACAAGTCTTAAAGTTGCCAAGGTTGAGGACCTCTGATATAAACCAATGTTTCTCAACCTTGGCAGCTTGGAGATGTGTGGGACTTCAACTCTCAGANAACCAGGGGTCCTCAACCTTGGCAACTTTAAGACTTGTGGACTTCAACTCCCAGAATTCCTCAGCCAGCAAAGCTGGCTGAGAAATTCTGGGAGTTGAAGTCCACAAGTCTTAAAGTTGCCAAGGTTGAGGACCTCTGATATAAACCAATGTTTCTCAACCTTGGCAGCTTGGAGATGTGTGGGACTTCAACTCTCAGAATTCCCCAGCCTGCATGGCTGGCTGGGAAACTCTGGGAGTTGAAGTCCACTCATCTTCAAGCTGCCAAGGTTGAGACAGAGTGATATAAACAAAGAAAGTTATCTTTCCCTCATCTTTGGGCAGATAATTATAATTCCTAGCAACTATAACTTTGGTTCCTAATAAAATGGCCCACAGAAACACATGCAGGGTGACATATCCATGCCTTTTCTTTCTTTAGTTCAATAGGCAACTTTTCCAGAGCTTCTGACAGCATGGAGAGAGCTTTCCATGGGCATTTCTATACACATACAGGTACAGATTTTCAACAATAAACATAGAAATTGGCACTAGAGATATATTGTACTATTTCATTCTATGTCATCTGAATGTAGACAATTTTACACAATGCACAAAACCAAGGGACCTTGTGGGACAAAACACAATTGCCTAAGTTTTTAAAATACGCCAAGTCAGAAATTACTATAGTCAGATTCACGTAATACCTTAAACCAAAGCAACAAACATTATGATTCATTTATTAATTAATCAAATTTATATAGCTGCACATCTTGCAAGAAGTGATGCTGGGTGGCACACAATAGGCAATAAAAGGAATACATATATAAAACATTCTTTTATATTCTTACATATAGAAGAACACATATATAACAACTTGGTCCAGAATTGATATGATTTGAATGACACCTGAATTAAGGGTTAATATGCAGGAAATTGAAATATAATTAGATACTTGGGCAGATCATAACCCATTAAAAATGGTGTGGAAAGGAATGCAGAAAAAAATAAGATGGACTTTGAATCAATCTATATTAAAAGAGAAAGAATTTATAGACTTAGCAACAAAAGAAATGGAATTTTTCTTCAAAGAAAAAGAAGATACAACATTACAAAATGTATAGGATACAACCAAAGCATATTTTCAAGGCATAGAGATAACATACATGGCGAAAAAAAATAAAGAAAAGAGACAACAATGTCAGTTGTTAAGAGAAGAATTTAGAAAATTAGAACTACAAATAAACCCAGAAAAGAAAATATTGAAAAGACAAATGGAAATAATAAAACATAAATTAAACTTAACAGAATCAGAAAAATTGGCACAACAAACAGCAAAGCAAAACTTTTTTGAAAATGCAAACAAACCAGGAAGATAGTTAGCTTATAAATTTAAAAAACAGAAGGCGAAAAAATTGATAAACAATTTAGTAGTTGAAAAAGGCTGTTT